ACGAGGGTCACAAGAAAATGCCCGGAATGTCAGGCGTTCGCCCCGTTCCAGAATCAGCCTACAACAACCATGATAGCATTAGCAACCCATGACCTTTCCACCAATGGGGAATCGAAATCGTAGGATCATTCCCGACGGCTCCAGGGGGATTGTAGTTCCTGCTGGTCGCAGTTGACTACTTCACAAAGTGGATCGAGGCAGAATCCCTAGTCATGGTCACGGGCAGGCAGATGATCCAATTCATGTGGACAAACATCCTAATCCGGTTTAGCACCCCTATGGTCCTGATAAGCGTTAATGTCACACAGTTCTAGGGAAGCCCCTTGAAAGAATGGTGCGAGGAAAAGTGGATCCATCATCGCTTTACCTCGGTTGAACACTGTCACACACCCAAACCGGTAAAACGGCGGAAACGTTCGGGGGCGAATGACTTCATGTATAGTATCACAACAATTGTATAATAGTAATAAAAGCAAACACAACCATTGTATTGATAACATAGAGCTTACATTGTATTCGAATCATATTATATCTGACTCCAACAGTATGCAGCAAAAACTAAGACGTGACGCTACTATGCTCCGTCTTATCGAAACCTGTGTGTGTACCTGTCTACTAGTTTCCTGAGAATACAAGTGATTTTGAAAGTGTATCAACATTTAAGTTGGTGATTTCATAAGTATTTTGTTATGAAAAGAGTGTGTTCTTTGTTCCTTGAAAGTATTAGTGTATTCCTCCAGAAAATCCAATATTTTCTTAGTAAATGAAATGTAAGTAATATGACCCATACTAGTTCCTTCTACGATTACTTAGTGTATACAAGTTATATATAATTCAGATCAAACGGACAGTCGAATGTGTGTATCTGCCCTAAACCCACAACCAAACAAGGAACAGGAAATAAGGCGGAAATCACACATTCCACTGCCTATCGAGCCTTCATTGTATATAACCTAACGTATACCTTAAGTAATCATAGAGTTAACAATAATGATCCTTTCAGAAATGTGAGTTGTACTGTACGAGCAAATAGTGTTCTATGGTGGTATTTGTATGTATGTTTCCCTGAAATGATAATCGTATCGTATTAGTAAGTAGTATAATGTATTACTTGTGGTATAACAGTGCGTACTTCTAGAAATCCCATAGCTTTCTTCTATAATCCCTTAGCGTATACAAGTTATATAAAATCAAGATTTAATAGGCCATTGAATATAATGGGTATGCCCTAAGCCCACAACCAAACAAGGAACAGGAAGTAAGGCGGACCCACCAATTCTAAGTTGATCGGGTCTTAATTTTATATAACCCTGGCATATACACTAAGCAATCATAGACGAAAATATGATTCTTCGTTGTCCTAACCGATGTGTATGAATATTGTGCTTAAAGATAATGCAATATAGTTTTATTATTCGAATAAAACCATCGAAGTTTATGTTTGTCCAGTAAACCATATGTTTTAGTTAATGTTCAATGAAACTGTCTGAAAATATATTACTACGTAAATGTGTCGTTGTTTTCTCCATGTAAGTTCTTATAACCATACTATGACCTAAGATGGCCTAATTGCGACGTTCTTCAGGCGTCGGAATGTTAACGACATTTTTCACCCAAGGTCTGCCGACCTAAATGTAGCTAACAGTTAAGGTGCGGGATTCTCATTCCCGTATAGATCTATACACAAATATCTCGCTCTCCCTACAAGAGACTCTGGTTATAATACAGGACTTTCGTTGGCACTTAGATAAGTACTTGAAGGCATCTCACAAATTGCTTCAACGAGTTTACGAGTAATAAACTGAAAACCCTTTTAGTAAATGAAATGTAATACCCTTTAGTAAATGAAATTTTAAGTTTGTATTGAATAAACTGTATGTGTGTTTCATAAACTATACCTATTATAGTTTATATGTTTGTTTCCATATTCTACCTAAACTTTGTAAAATAGTACGTACGTTCCATAAACTACACCTATTATAGTTTATATCTTTGTTTCCGTTGATATGAAACCGTTGCGTCTGAACATGTTTTGTAAATGTTTCTAAATTTGATATTAACGATGTTTTGCGTATTTAATAAATTTCATGTTTAAATGCATATTAACGGTAAGATAACATAATAAGCAATTTATATTTTTTAAACACAAGATTTCTTGTGTTTTATTTGTATTCCCCCCCCCCTAAAACAATTGAAAAATCGTGAAAACGTAGGGGTATGACCTCACCTTGTGTGTGATTGCGGTTAGAATCTAACTAGAAACGGTCAGCGGTTCGTGAACGTCGGGCTCGAGAAGCGAAACGGCCTCATCAAACGAGATAGAGAGAAGAGATTTAGATGTAATGAGCCTTGGGGTCGAAATGGTTATTTATAGGCTGATTGTTGGTCTCTTAGGTCGTGAGCCTCACATGCTCACATTCTGAGCTTTCATGAGTCATCTTGTAGGCTTCCCAGTTGTTTTCTAGCATCGATTAGTGTCCTTTTAACTCCTCACGTCGTGAGCCTTAAACGTAGACTTGACATCTGCATTCTAGGCTTGAAAAGTGCCGTTTTGACTCCTCACATCGTGAGAATTAATACTCACGTCGTGAGTCCAGTCAGATTAGGGTTTCTGACACGTGTCATGCTCTTAGACAAGTGTATATTCGGAAGGTCATAACTTTTGCATACAAGCTCCGTTTTTGACGTTCTTTATATCCACGCGTAGGTGGAGACGTACGCTACAACTTTTTTTTAGAATCTAATAGCTAATTCTAAGTCTATTGTAAATTCCTTTTGTTATAAGGGTTTATAGCGTTAGAATTTATCATAACTCCTTCATGCGAAGTAAGATTTAAACGTTTTATACATTTTGGAATCATATGGACGTATACTTTGATTTGTATCATAAAGTATGTATGCAAGTTCATACTTGTATTAGCATTTATCATGAATTACATAGTAAGTTTGTCACATTACATGATTAGCATAATCATATGTGATTGTTCTTGACCTATTTTGACTGGTGTTACACACACCCCCAGGAAAGCGGCCAGACTGAAGTATCAAACAGGACCATCATGAATGGGATCAAGAAACGCCTGATGAAAACAAAAGGTGTCTTGACAGAAGAGCTGCCAACAGTAATGTGGTCATACTGCACTACCGCAAGGTCAGGGACAGGAGAGACACCCTTCAGCCAAACATATGGCACGGAAGCGGTGCTCCTACTCGAGATTCTGAGTGAATCGTTGCGGGTAACTAGCTTCGATGAAGCCCTGAACGAGGACGGGCGACGACAAGACTTGGACATGTTAGACGAGAAACGCCAAGCTGCCATACTACGAAAAGCACCCTACAAATCCTGTACATAAAACTTTTACAATAAATGGGTACATGTAAAGAACTTCAAGGTAGGAGAATGGGTGCTGAGGAAGAACGAGGCTAGCCACTCGGAGCCATTGGGGAAGCTAAGTGTAGCCTGGGAAGGACCCTACAAAATAATGGGGGTACATCAGGATGGAGCATATACACTAGAAGCAAAATACGGGAGATCGATACCCCGAACACGGAACGCACACAACCTGCGCCACTTTTATTCATAAAAACAACCGGCAAGGGGCATAACCAAATGAGGGGTTAGTGACTCTCGGACCTCCGGCCTAAAAGCCACACTTTGGTCAAACGTTTTACAAGAAGATGTTTAAGTTGTCCTTAGAACTTTCTGATTAATAAACTTTCACAAGATAGTAGACTAGCCTTACTAGTCAATATACGCACATGCGTATGTAAAGCATAAATACAAACGCAAAGAACAAAAAAAGGGGGGTACACGAGCTTGCCAAACGACAACACAGGTTGATCACTCACATTGTTTGAGCAAAACACATGAAACCACAAATCTCAGAAAGAGATAATCCCCCAACGTAAACTTCGGGTTAAACAAGCAATAAAGCCTCCAGGCTCTCAAACCAAACGTGCCCAAAGGGTCTGAAGGATCATAACCTTCCCGTGACAATTTAACACATACGATTCCAGGGTGCCTAGAGGTGACGACCTCGGCTCACCTTAAGCGACCACAAAAGAGAGGCAATTGGCCACTCAGTTAAGAGCCAAAGTACATACAAAAAATGAGAAATAAAACAAAAAACATACAAAAATAAATGAGAATTAACCCCGGAGAGGTTGAGTCGAAGCAGTGCCCCCAACGCCACCGTTTGGCACGTGTTGCTCCTCCTCAAAGCACAATTGGCAAAGATCAGCAAGGCTGAGCTCACCCAAACGAAGGTAGGACGTAAAATCCGTCTCGGTAAAAGCCCTTATGGCAGCATGCAATGCATCAACATATTGTGCCACAACGTCCGGATCAGACAAGTCAGGGCCATTACCAGCTGACCACGCTCGTGCCACCTACTTTCCCTTCTCTACACCAGCAGCCACACATGCGGCCTTCACGCGACGTATCCCAAGCACGAACTCAATACTTTCAACAACACGGTCCACCACCAGAACCACTCCCTTCTGGAGAACCCACGCTAAATCAGCCTCCAAGAGTTTTCTCCTCAAGACCTCAACGGCGAACTGATCGTCTAGCAGTGTCAAACGCTCCGCCAATACTTCTTTCTCCGATACCAAATTTTGGACCTGCTGGGATAAGAGATTCACCTCCTCATCCAGAGTTGCCACCTGAGCTTCCACATCATTCTTCTCCCCGGACAGCACGAGGTAGCAGTCATCAAACTTGTATTGCTCCTCTTCGAGAAGCCAAAAGTTTTCTGCAAGCTCGTCACGCTCGCATTTAACAGCATCCAGCTCCGCTAAATCAACCCTTATGTAACGAAGACGACCAGTAGCCGCCACCAAGTAGGGAGCAACCTGAGAAGCGGCATATTGAATATCGTTCGCCATGCGAGAATAAGAAAGAGCGTCGAAAGCCTCCAGGGTAGCCGGAAGAAACGCATGCCAACACCATTCAAAGGAAGGTCCCTATTCCGAAAAAAGAGAACTGGATGTGAGACTCTCTACCGAGGGAGATACACACCAGTAGCGCCCAAAGACGAAGGACTCGTTGCCGATGGGGCATCACCGGGAATAGATGGAGATGCCGAGTAAGTACCCACAACGCCTAGCTCCCCCGGCCGACGCAGATCCGCTGCCTCCACCGCTTGCGGATCGTCAGTATCAGCAATCTCAATAACAACATGGGACTTAGAAAATAGAGGATCAATGTTGTGTTTCCGACGTAAATGTCGGCTAATAGAACTGCCACCGACATCTTCCTCGAGGGCGTAATCCACAATAGCAGACTGACGACGGGAGACGACTTTACCACTAGCCACACCTGATCCGCGGACCCTCGCCTCGACAGGAGGGACATCGCCCTCAAGAACAGGGCCAAATCTGGCTGGATTCAGTAGCGTCTCCACTTGAGGAACTTCGTGATACTGCAGGTGCCCTACAAAATCCCCCCGTAGCACTTGCTCAAGAGATAGAAACCTCTCGCTACCTGCAACGGCAAACAACGCAAAACCCTCTTTTTTCTTAGAAACAGAAACAAAATATCAAGCAAAGGAAAGCAAAAGAGGGAGAGAGGGGGAAAGGTAACACTTACCATCATTGTCCACAAAAAAACTGAGGCATTTTTCCACGTGACCGCCAAGCAGCACTCATTCCGGCTGCCGCCAATACATAGTCCGGCCAGTGTTCGTCGTTGAAACAAATTCCTCTTAACGTGAGAGCCACTGACAAACCAATCCCTGATAGTTGGGGTGCCCGATCCAAAGCCTTGGGCACACGAGGATAGCCGACCCCGACCAAATCACTGTTAACCCACAGCGACCGATCGTGCCAGTTCTTCTGAGGCGTTTTTTGGTTAACTATATAGGAATGTGTGTTACGGCGTTGAGAGAAAGTGTGAACGCCCGAATGAGTAGACGAATTGAAGAAAGACTGGAATGCTTGAAGATTGGGAAGCACCCTCATTGCTCGACACTGTAATTCAAACCAAACTATTTGTTCACATCGTTTGGGGTCAATTCGTGGACAGAGAAACCGTATTCTCACATAACCATATCAAAGAAACGGGAAGCCGAAACCCGGCCTCGAAGATCGCCATCGGAATACCCATTTTCCTGGCCGATGGTTAATATATGGTAGACCCTTCTGATGGAATTGAACCCCATGCTCAGGCATGAACCGAGATCGGAATTGAAGGGACTCAAACTCCTCGGGTGTAGGAGCGACTCCAGATCTAGTAGAGGCCATCAAGAATCAGAGAGAAAAAAATATGGGTGAAAGAAGAAATGACAATAGAGGATGGGACCGCAGATTATGGGAAGAGGAAGTGTATAACCGTTCCTCCAAGAGAAAGGACCGAAGAAAAAAATCTCCTAGCCCTTTTATAAAACCTTCACCTTCTCTCTAAGAAATAAACTAACTTGGTCGTCGGGGCTTCGTTCCGGGACTTCCTCCCGGATGAGGACTGACGGTCTTGTTTCCGTCGATGTGATTCTCAGGCACTCCATCCCATCCATCAAAGATACATACTTAAGCCGAAGACCTGTCACAACAATAAGTGAATAAAAATGTATCAGATTTTTATTACAGTACATTCGTTAATCACTTATAAATAAAAAGTAGGTTTAATTTTTTTACAGTTTAAGTATCATTCATATATGAATATAACATGTAATAAACTTTTTATAGTTTACATCGCTCTCGTCACATGTTATTTTCACATATGAATAAAACGTGTATTAGCTATTCTCACAAATTATATTCATATATGAATAACACATTTATCAAAATTTTGTTACAGTTCATTTGTTATATATATATATATATATATATATATATATATATATATATATATATATATATATATATATATATATATATATATATATATAAGGAGTTCGAATTTTCAAAACACTTCTTCTTTTATTCACATACTCTTTATTCATATATGAATCACAAATGAACTGTAACCAAAATCTGATAAATACTTTATTCATATATGAATATAACATAGGACGAGCTAATACACGTTTTATTCATATATGAATATACCATATGACGAAAGATGGTGTAAAAAAAATATTTTGGGTAAGAAAACTTTATTATGTGTTATATTCATATATGAATGACATGTAAACTGTAAATAATAATAATAATAATAATAATAATAATAATAATAATAATATTAATAATAATAATAATAAGTGTATGTTTTATATATAAGTGAATAAAGAATGTACAGTAATAAAATTGGATGTATTTTTATTCACTTATAGATAACGAGAGCTGAACTATAAAAAAATAAAAATTTTATTTTATCTTAAAACTATATCAATATGGATCTATATTTATTGAGAATAAAAAATTATGAATTTTGATATATTTAAGATAATTTTTGGATAAAAATAGCTTCTGAAAGATTTAAAAAAAACTATGTTTTTGTATATATATTAAGGTAAGTATTAGCATAGTTTAAGGAAACATGTTTGGTTTGATAGCACTTTGTGTATCCTTTGCCCATTTCCGCCGGTACACCTAAATGTTTTGCGGTAAAATACATGTGTTGTTGAAATTGATTTCCTCATTCTCAACCGTTTTATTTTCTCAATTCAACCACCCTATATATATATATATATATAATATATATATATATATATATATATATATATATATATTATATATATATATATATATATATATATATATATTATACCTTAATATGCATATTTGATCAAAGGCTGAATTTTAAGAGGTACAACCCTTTACTACAATATTTATAATCATTTTATGAATTGAAAAAACTTATTTGTTCAACCAAAGTCAAATTATCAAACACTAAAATTTAAGTCACTTTTATTTTATCCCTTAAATATATCCACCTAACTCACATTCATCAAGCTAAATCGGTCAAAATGAAGACTTATTCACAACCTGTTTCGTGTGAAGATGCTTAAAATAGGGGATTTGAGTCCCTTTTCTCTCTCGTTTCTCTTCGTTTATAGAGAAACACCTCACTTTTCCTTTTCTCTGTCCTCAATCTAGGTTTTCTCCAACTCCAACCATCGTCATCATCAAACTACTCGTCGCTACCACCAAATCACCATTGCACATGTACACCTTCATCACACCACTATTCAACTACCTTTTATGTTTCCGACCACCAGACCTAGGTAAGAACAACAAAAATCTTGTCCCTATCTCATTGCATCTAATCTTATTTTCCAACTCAAACTTTTTTTTATGTTACTAGAATATTTAGTGTGTAACTTTAATCATTTATGTTTTCTATTTTTTATTAGTTTCACTCGGTATGCATCTACTTCACCGTTGATTGATAATTATTACAATTAAAGTCTAATTTTAAAACATTAGACTTGGTTTGTTTAGATACAGGAGGGATATTATGGTGCTTGTAATACATGAGCTTCTGATGAAACAATTCCTACAGGTAAGAAAAGGTAAGAAAATTGGTAAAGTAGACTTCATAGTAAACCACTCGCTTCTGCTGCTTCCAATATTTTCTGTATTTTTGTGCAAATGGAAAAAATGTCACCTTCATATATGTTACCAGTTTAATATTTGGTTATGGTTCTCTTATGTGTGTATGCTTTATGTGTTTTGCAGCATTTGCTTGGTTTTAAAAGAGAACCTTGGCGAGGATTACAAGATTATAGGTATTATAATCTGAACACTAAAAATTAGAAATGTTCAGTACTGATTCTCATTAAATGCCAAATGAATTTATGATAATGGTTTATTTGTCTTTTGTGCGAGATAGGATGAAAGTGTAGGTTGGTTAGCTTCTTATCACATGCACACACACACACACATCGAAGTAGCATGGTCAAGGATATCAATGTAAGTTTGTTTAAAATTAGTTTGATATATTTAGTTTTTGAATTCGTTTTTTATAATATGTTTATATAAAATGTTAACGACATGTGAACTTGATGAAAAATCATGTATCTGATGTGAAAGATGAGGCCGAGACTTTCTCATAGAATCATGTATCTTATGCAATTCCATTATGGTTAGTTGCATTCATTGGAGAAGAGATAGAAAACTGGGAAAAGTAAACATGCAGATGATGGCTGGCTGGTGGCTCCTCTAGTGTCTGTTTGGTCTACCATTCAATAGTCCCATTAGCAACCTCAACAAAAAGTATATTGTTCACTGTTTAGGTATGTTGGATCTCGGTTTTTATCATATTTTGTATATACAATTTTGCTTATCTCAACCACAATCGCACCACAACCATCATCATAAGTTGTTTTGTGATCCTTTACTTATACAAGTATGTCCTATGGAATTAAATATGCTCATACAAGTACATCAACAACTAATCAAATGGAAGATTGGTGGAACTACGGTTCCACAGTTCTTTCCTTTTATTTTTTTATACTTTCTTTTAGTGATAATTTTCTTTCATTAGGCTGATGTATTGCATAAGTTGGCATTGATGCATCATCGTGGTAGTTCCACATTTTGGGGATTTGTTAGGCCTATCAATTGTTACGTAATAAATTTCATTCTCTTAATACGTTGAATTAAATAAAATAGCAATGTGCATTTTTATTGGCAAGTAGTTTACACACACAGTGGTAGAAGTGGCTCTATGGAGTACATTAGCACAAAGAATAACAATTATAGATACTGCTTATCACCCACCACTACATTAGGGATCTGGTACCCTTTATTTCTTTTTTTCCATGATAATTTATATACAATAATTTTTCATATAAAATTGAAGTGTTTTTTTTTCTTTTTCTTTTAATATGTGTAGACCTTTAATACCCATGTGAAGGTTTCTTTGGAATGTATGAACACGATGATTATTTTAATATATTTATAGAAATGATAGAAATTCCCTTCCGAAAACCCAAATTTTGGTGTTAAATGCAATAAATATCTCCGTAGGTTGGATTATTTGTGAATTGTATATAGCTTCCTGGTTTGGTTTCTTTCTATCACAATGTTATAATGATATAACATTGTAGTTTTCATTATTATCTTAGGACATTATAATTGCAAGAGACTTTCTATTTACAGTAGTGAACCCTAATTTTAAGTATGGTGTGTTGATAAGAAAAGAAATTAGAAAAATCAGCTAAAAGAAATTAAAAATGTTATAATTCTTTCATTTTGAGGCTACTGATAGAATGAACCCTAAATTTTAATATTTTTTATTAGTTTCGAAGTAGGATGTTGTTATGGACAAACAAGAAAGTTATGTTGCCTTTTCTTTTTACTTTTATAGTGCTTAGAACTTTCTCCTTGCTTTTTTTTTATTTCCTATTATTTATGTTCCTTAATTTATCTAACTTCTAATTATGATAGGATCAATCTCTTGTGCAGTTCAAGATTGTCATCTTTAATATCTCGGTATATTTCATGGTATGGATTTTATGTGTGTGTGTGTCGCATTTACCAGAACATTTTATAGTTTACTATCCGATCTTTTTTATTAAAAGGAAATGGCAACATTTTTGCGAAGCAGCTAATTGACTGTCATAATTTGCCCTATTTCCTCTTTGTCCTTTTACTAACTAATGATCTTTTATTATTTGGTTGTTTATTTGATTTGTATTTTATTTTTGTTCA